AAATAACATTTTTTTTTTTTTAGAAATGTCCGTGTAACAAACACATTTGTGATGGTATTTATAGCACCTAATGTACCGTCTAGCCGACCTGAAACCTGCCTCTCCTCTCCGTTCTTTCAGAATGCCCACCTTCGCTCGCTTTGCATCGTCTTGGTACATTCCCATGCAGGTGCAGGGCTTCTCCGGCAATTTCTCGCCTCTGTCTCTCTTTCTCATTCATCTCCCATTTTTTTCTGACAAACCCGAACGAATTTGGGTTCGCACGTCACGAGTTTGCTTTTCAGTCTTCTTTCCATTCATCTCTTCAAATAGGAGTACTGTATATATGTTTATTGAATTTAACAAGCTCTCTCTCAAACACGGTCACAAAACTGACTGAGCAATTATTATCACGAGAAAATAAAAAATCAAAAAGTTTAAAATTTATTTATCGTTAAATTTAAGAGAAGATATACGTTTTGTTTCATACAATACGTATCTAAAATATCTATAAAAGATCAGCAAAGTGAAATTCTCAAATGTTTTATTTATTCACGTATTTTGCATAAGAATTCCACGTAAATCTTTTACGTTTGACGGGAAGACTTGTGATAGTGCCCAATTGATTTATGATTAACGTACAGAGGCACGAGACAAAAAAAAAAGAGATAGGGACACGCGTAGTTACGGGGCGGGACCTTTCAGTAAGTCGAGGCACGTAATTTAACGAGCTTCGATCATCCGGTGTCGATTTGGCTGTGAGACAAATAGGAAATATACACCTTGTACTCACGAGACGACGATTCTTATCCGTGTTGATAAAAAATATTCGCTGATTTTCAACGAAAAACAAAAATTTGTCATTATACACCCCACACAACTAGTAATTTAAAAAATATATAAATAATAAATTTTAACACCATCAAAAGTTAAACTACCAAAAAGTAAATAAAGTAGACTTTAGTATCTTAAACTAATAAAAATTAACATTTTTAAAACATATTAGATATACGCAAGTAGAACATATTAGTCTAAAAGCAATTTTATCTAAAATAAGAATCTTTTCATTAAGTTTATGTAATAGAACAGATGTGAAAAAAAGGAAACATATGCGAGATAACGAAGACTAAAATACGAAGCATTTGTGAATTTAATATAAAATAATAGCGTAAACAAAACGAAAGCTGATTTCTAAAAATTGTACGTGGTATCTTTATATTTCATTATTGAATATAACTTATTCATCTCACATCATTAAAGTATCGTTAATGACAATATCGATGCGGTGACTAAACTTTCCTCGAAATTTCTTGGCCCTTGACGTCTCACGTCGGTATTCGGTATTTGCCATACGAATTCATATTTATGAGACAACATTTCTTTACGAGCGCGCACGGGAGCGAAAGCCGAATTTTATCACAGTGTTACATTCGCGACACGGATGCGTTACGTATGTTCTACGGTGTGCAACAACACGTAAGAAGCGCAAAACAAATCTCTTCGCCATCGCGTCAATGTCAGGATAGACAATGGCTATTTGCATAAAACATTCTGAGTAGCGACTGCCATCGATGGCAATCGTGTCGTAAACGAAGATCGAATGTTCAATCGTTTGACAATAGTGCTGGAGATTGTTATGAAAAAAGCGAGTGGAAAGATTATAACCGTATAAATAATGGAAAATTCAAAGAACAATCGTGGCGATGATTAAAGATACTTGAGTAAGATCGTTTTGTATTTTTTCTCTACTAACATTGAATTAATACAATAAATTGTGTCTTTAATACTTTTTATACAACGATTGATAGAAAACAATTAAAAAATATATAAATTTACATCATGTTTGTTTTTCTATTATTGTCAATTGCAAGAAAATTTTAGGCGTAAATAATCCTGAACGACAAGTGTATTTTATAAAGTACCTATAAGTATCGCCAAATTCATTTTGTAAAGAATCACTTAATTTTAGCGTTAATCGAACTAGACGTTACATCGTGAGTTAAATATGCATTGAACTAATATTTAAAGTCGTTAACCATTCGCGACATAACACGCGGTCTCGTACGTTGCATGCCAGGTGCACATCAGTAGTCTAAAATTAGGCAAATTAAACGCGCGTGAGAGATACGGATCAAATATTGATTGTTGACCGACGAGTAGCAACGAATTCATTTCGAGCGATTTCAACTGTTTAATTATTTGCGCGTGCATTGCCGGGCGTGGATTTCACGGCAATAAACGGAAGCCGCCGAAAGTGATTCACGCCCGCCGAAAGTTAAATGACACGCAATAAATCGGCCGGTTAATTACACGCGATTTACGCGCTTAAGTTGCGTCATTGCATAGTCGTTATTACCGCATACACCAGTGTACTGTCCGATTGATGTCCCACGCTCATATCTGCGGTATTGCTTACGTTCTAATTGCTAATTGCGTGGGATACGTTTTCAATTTATAGGTAGGTTTCTAAACGTTCTGTAATATATTATTAAATAACATCAATTCCCCGTTTAATAGGTTTAAAATGGCAAAGAGCAGATCAAAAGATTAGAATAAAAACAATCTTTTAAAATTTATAGCGTTTCCTGTGCTTTTTAATATCGCAACTAGAATGCTAAAGATCTTAAGACATTTTCAGGTTTCTTTGAAAAAAATTTAATGTACATACAAATTAAACTAGGGCAGTGTAACTGAAGATTACTTTAGCAAACGTCAATAAAAAAATTACATAAAATAATAATTCGTAACACTTTTACCCTGCAGGCAAAAGCAAGGAGATTAATTTCAATACAGATTTAAATATTATTACGACGACAGAATAGTTTTCAGTGTCCTTTTCGCAATTAAAAATCTGTGTAAAACACTTGTAAACTCTTGTTAAAACAAACACTAGACAATTCCAATAACGATACAGAAAGTTCTTAAACACTCAACTGTAATCTTTTCTCTTTTCTTGCTATAAATATTTAGTTATTCTTCCTTCCACCTACAAATGTTTTAACTTTATCGATTCATAATGCTGATAGGTGCCTAAACAGTTATCAACAAACGTTGTCGATATATCTTGCAACTGTTTAGAGAGCATGGTTTATTATCTGTCTGCTTCTCTCGGATATAGTACACATAAATATTTATAAGAATGATTCACGGGTCGATTGCGTAAGTTTTAGAAAATAAAAAGCACAGATCGCTGAAAAAGAAAATGTCCCCTGAAGTCGGATAAGAGCGGATAAATGGGTGGGGGCGATGCGACGCGTCCGACGCTTACGCGTATATAAGTCTCATACACGCGCTCCGAAAGAGAATGGAAGGCGGGGGCGTTCAGTGGGGGGGCTTTAATGAGGATGCTGCTGATTATCCAATTCGTAAATTCTCGCTACATTTTGATCGCGCACGACGAGCCGCGAGTAACAAGGATGACTCGCACTGCCACTCGACACTATACATTCGTCCTAGAAAATTCCGATTTTCAGCGTGACAAAAGCCACTTTTCCGCTCCATTATGAGTTAATTACTCGCAAGTTACTCGGAGATATTAAAGTGACGAAGAAATAAAGAGAGAAAATCTTGTGTATATAATAACTAACTTTTTAAGTAAAAAATATTATTTACCTTCTGAAATTTATGTTTATTTGTTTAATGTAATTTCAATTTAATATGTATAATGCAGCGCAATAAGAGAAACCATACTATTGCATTAATCTCTTTGTTATTGAAAAGGAAAATGTTTCGCTTTAAATTGCTGTTGACGACAATGCTTAAACTAACAAAATATTGCTTAGAAAAATATTCGCATATTAGAATTACAGTAATCCGACTGTCTTGTTTGATAGCGTGCAAGAGGCACGATACAACTCTCGCGCGATCTAATTGAACAAATCATATACGTGTGAGTGCGGCTCGCGTAGCTAGTGCTCGAATTATGCAAGCGTCATCGGATGTAAGTGTACCTTAAGTGTCTGGATCCGACATTAACACAACACTATATCGGAATCGTAGTCGATCGTATTTCAAGAGGCGACGAAAGAGCTGATTTCACTATTCCTCGCATTATCACTCTGTCCCTTTTATCATTCCGAGAAACGCGCATCGATATCTTTATGCAAAATAAAGGAATGCAAGGAACCTTTCGCAATACTTCCTTAATGAAAATATAAGCGAGCGGCTTCTAATTGAAGAGTACGAAATATCTGTACATGCACCACGTACTTTTATGATAGTAAAGAACTTAAAAAAACTTGAAAAAATCATTCCACGCCCGCGAACAGTAACTTAATGAGAATATTAAACTGGACGATTATTACGCTGTCTGGGCAGTCTCGTAAATTTTTCTCACGCCATTGGCATGCGCTTTATTAGCAAGACGATAAAATGTTCATTAAGAACTCACTTCACTACAGTCTTATTAGGTATATAAATTATTGTGAAAGTTCGAAAAAAAATATTTTAGCTTAAAAGTTGAAGCTAAATATTTAAATATTAATTCATAAGAAATGTAGCTTTTTTGAAAAATTCTGCAGAAATATATAGTGACAATGAAAATCATATATTCAATTCTTATCCAAAATTGTTTCCAAAATATATTATTTACTTGTTAATTATTGAAATAATTAGAAATGTAATTGCAATATAAATTTACATTTTATTTGAATAATTTATTTTGTCAAAGGTAACGCAATTACTAATTTTAATTTCAATGAATATATTTGTATGATGTAATATATATAAATTCTCCAAATTGTATGTCGAATAAAAACATACCCAGAAGAAAAAATATATATAACAGCTGTAGCTTGCTCAATTCATGTTTTTCTAATTTTTAGATATTTGGTAATCTAATTGACCGACGATTGTTATCAATTCAAATAACGATATAATAAAGTATAAAATATATCCATACTAAATTTGACATTTGCATGCAACACATTTTTTTAGTCTTGCGTATAAACATTGTGGTGTCCTTTAGAAGCTATGCCCTTCGAGCGATTAAGAAGACAAGCATTAGGATTGGAAAGACTCACCTAAGGAGCTTTCCGGATCAGAGAGGTCCGACAGGGACGGCACCTTCCGCATCGAGGTGACTCTGCCAGACAGAGCCGGCACCAAACCTTCTTCCTCGGCGTCGGAGGTCATCTCTTGCTTCAGCAACTTCGCCATCACCGTCAACATACCGCTGCCATCGGTGATGCAGGCGTTGGGCCCCAAGAAGCTACCCATGCTTCGAATGTCGCGCTAGTAAATGAAAAAATATATATCGTTAACACTCGCTGACACGCCCGTCTTTATCTATGTAAAAAACTGTTGGACCGCGATATATGTGTTGCGTATCTTTTTACAGTAAAAATTCAGTAACATGTTTTTCTCACATGTTTTGTCGCTAGTCTAAATTTAGCATCTTCATCTAAAATCGCTCGGAGCACGCTAAGCAGGTTTCGATGTAAAAGGAACAAAGTTCAGGGAAACTACGGGGAAAGAGAAGAGATCTGTATACATTGAAAAGTAAGAAAAGCAAATTAGAGAGATAACCGGTTGATCGTTGAAGGAGGAGGAAGCAGCGTGCACGCGTTATTCGTTGAGGAAGAAAGACATGAAGAGTGGGAGGGGAATGCAGCTTGGAGCGGAAAAAGAATGGAGAGAGTGCTCGTGCCCCGGCGATAGTCACGACTCCGCTTGACCTTCGTATGAAAGACTCTAAGTTGAATGAAATGTCGCCATGGAGTGACGCAACAGCGTGTAATGCGCGTGATCTAGTACTACGAGGAATCAATGAATGTGATTCGTACGGAAGACATTTAAATAATGATAAACTTTTTAATTATTCAATTTTAAAAATTTTTTCGATGGAGAAAAAAAATTATATTATCGGATGACGTTATATAGTATATCGAATTGGTTAAATAAATTTAGTCGCAAAAGTTCTTTAATTTTTTTCAAATTAACAGTGTTTTAGCTGTAATTCAAATTTTTCTTGTAATTTAATTAAAAGAAAGACAATAGGGAGCGATGGAAAAAGATAAATGAAAAATAATTCTCTTTCTTTCTCTCTCTTTCTTCATACTTTCCTAAAATATAATATATAATCTACAATATATATTAACATCTAATTTCTATAATTATTTTTTTATTAATGTAAAACTATTTTACACTCACGTAATAATTCTCTTTCTTATTGTAATTTAGAATACAAACAATACAAAAATCTGACAAGAGAGAACGATTCGAAAAAAACACTAATAGCGCACGACTAAATTCGAACTCGTACAACGATCCCTCTGTATTGCACGATAATTATTCGTTGGGTTATCAGTGGTAACCAGCTCACAACACGTGTATATAGATAAATAGAAAGCGGTTAAAGATCCTGAGTCCCATCACGTTCTATTCCCCCCTCCCTCCCCCGCCCCACGGTACTCACTTCTCTCTTTCTACATTTACGTATCTATTCGCCTATCTCTTCCTCTTTCATCGTCGACGCTGAATGGAAATCTATTCATCGCGGACCAATAGTACGTGACCGAGTCAACCATTGACGGGCCGTATATTAACGATGGTATCTCTCGAGATGCGCGAGCGAGCGAGCGAGTGAAGCCAAGACGATTATCTTTCGACAAAATGGCCGAATGCTAATGTGTACAATTCGCAATCGTAATCTCTCTCTTCACTAACATTGACCACGACCTTCCTCGCAAGTTCTTTTACGCAAATTTTTATCTCGAACAAGCAAGGCCAATACGGCGGAACGATAGTATCGGTCATCGTGAGTCTATCAAATCATACAACGACATCATGTCACGTGCAATTGAATTACAGATTGATAACGGAATTTTCGACTTTAAGCTTTGGAGAAATTTGCCAATTCTCCGTATTAGGTATAACGCGGTCTTTGCCAGAATCGCGCGGTATAAAATTAATAAAATTCACGGTAATAAGTACGAGATGAGAAATATAACCGGCGAGAGGCAGACTCGATAACGCGTTTTCGCGAGGGAGATCGCGGCTCGTTATCACGGAATTTCAAGAGCGGCACGCACGATCGTCTTTCGCGGTGGGCAAAAATAGAGTTACAGGCGTATATTCTCGATAATAGTCCTTTCAGACATGTAAATCTATTCGGGCCACGCAGCGACCGGCGAGGAGGAAGAACAAATCAGCGAGCGCGCGGCGCGATCCGAGAATATCGCGAGATAAGTTACGTTCATCGAACACGATTGGCAAAACGAATTCATTCAGGAGTAGCATTATCAATTTGCGATTACAACTTGTTTTTTCTGTTCCTCGTGAATGCGCGTGAACGTATCGCGTAGTTTTATATAACAGCCAGCGCGTCCGTTGAAGATTTTTAATTTATATCAGACATCGTGCATGTATATATATAATCCGGCGGATGTAAACTGTTTGCGAATACACGATAAGCTTGATACAATCTATACATTTCGCTCGCTCATAACAAAGTGAGCTAAAAAATAGATTATTGATTTGGCGGAGCGTGTAGTGGCCGAGGTCGTGAGAATTTATTTCGACATTTTTATCGAGATACAAAGCGCGTGACCCGCGTTTCCTTAAAAACACTACGCTCGTTTAAACCAAAATCCACCGTCAAATATTATTTATTATTCCGAGTAATGAAAGAATTTTAGGAATTGAAGAGCGCAATAAAATCGAAAAATGTGAAACTATAAAATACCTTTAAAAATCAGCAGTTTTTATTTCGATATGTGCAATATTTGTTAAATTTTTTGCTTTAAAATCGTCGATAAAAGGCGATAGCTTATAAGTACGGGGCAAGTATGACGGAGAATTATCGTATGTTTGGGTTAATATCTAACAAACATTCCTTTCACAAACGTTTTCGTTACGGATGATGAAGGTTTCTCTGTATCCGGCATTCCAGGTATACAGACCACACGCGCGGTAATACTTCAACAGCAAATTCTATCGATGAATGGAGTATCAAACATCATCTCTCGCGAACGTCATCCGCGTCGTGCACGCGCGACGTTTCAAGCCGTCGGGCGATAAGATAAATTTTACATCGACATCAAATGTGAAGTGCTATATGCAAGTTGTTTGTCGTCGATTTCGCTTTTAGAAAATGTCCGATAAAATAAATATAAAAAAAAACAAAGAAAATTGAAACAGAGACACAAGTTAACGAACAGATCAACAGATCGAAAATATCGTGTAGAAAATGCGGATTCTTCAGCTTTTCTTACGAGATACGTGATTAATTATCGCGTGACACGAGGTTTTGTTTTGTCTCGATTCATTTGAACTCGTGTTAAAGATGACAATAATCATAATCGTAATCCGAATTGCTAACGTAATACATAATTTACAACTTAATAACCGATTTGACGTCACGGCTGGAATGCTAATATCGCTCGTCGTTGAATGTAATTTATGCCAGTGCCCACGTCACGTAGGTACGCGCGCAAAATTACGTCCGCATCGCAAATGTGCGTTTAACCGAAAAGCACGAACAACAGTATTTCGTACTAAATACATTTCACAATATCGCGGCAAGGGTGCCGACACACGTTCGGGTTACGTAATATTTTCACGAACGCAACGACGACAATAACATAAGCGATAGGCTTACGCGACGTTTTATCTTAGATATCCTGTCGCACCGATAAATAATTGGCTAACGAAGCCATTAACAAAGCCCCCGTTAATGAACGCCGCATGAACAGGTGGCGTTTAATGGCGACCGTATGGAAATTAAACCTGTGGACAATGCCGAGAATGCGAGTGAGTCAACGTGCAAAGTGCGCGGCCCAGCCGATCAGATAACTTTATCCGAACAGAAGAAAACGTAAAGGGACCCCACGCGTACGCGGAAAATTGAACGAGAGGGGGACTTTTACGCCTGACACGTGGCGCGGTATTGATGTTTCTATATTATTTCGGGATGTTGCAAGTAAAAATAAGGTAAAGCTTGCTGATGCGCGTGTCATATTCGAGAAAACGACGGCGCACGCTCAGCTGACAGATTTCCCCGATCAATCGCTCGGTAGCTCCAATAATTAGCGTCGCATTTTTTCATCACGTGATCGTATAATTATTAAACTCTTATAATTCATCCAATAATATCCAATAACTGAATATTAAATATTTAATTTACGGCATTATAAAATAATTTCTATAAGTATTAAGTTGGATTTAACTGAAATTTTAGAGCATATCTCTGTCCGTTTCTAAATATAGAAAATTACAAAAGAATAGTCTCGCGTAGACCTTACAATTAGTTGACTTCAATTATTATCTCATGCGGGACGATTTTGTAGAACTAGATACGATTTCTTTTATACTGAAAATTCCGAAAAAAGGTTATATAATACGTTAATCTTGTTGATCGATATGTGATAGATATACTTAAATATTATCACTTCGCGAGAGAGAATCGTGTGTGAACCATTATGTAATAATATTAATTGAAAAAAACAAAACAGAAAACAGCAGTACTTGCTGCGATATTACGGAAACCGGTTTATTCTTGCGTTGGATTTGTCGGCCTGGATATCTTATCGATTACACTGATTAATTAATCGGTCAGACGTTGCTACGATTATATCCACCTCGAATGCAAGCGAAATTAAATTAGAGAACAGCTCATTCACGACTCACATTAATAGCTTATCGGAAAAATCAATGCCACAGCGTTTCTCTCGCTTTAGGTATGACATCGCGACGCCGTGGGTTTATATTTAAAAAATAATAATTGCATTGTTTATGCGAAGGCGTAATTGCATTGCTGAGATCCGACAAATATATTTTCGTTCCGAGGTCGTGATTTATATATTAATATAAATTTCCGTTGATAATCAAATTATACGCGTTTGAATTATGAATGAAATTTATCTACATCAGACTATGAGACAATGGTTTCTATTGCATATTATTAAATTTTATAGCATTCGCCAATAATTCTTAATGTCAATAATGTCGACATTTGGTAATGTGATAAACGCGTGATAGAAAATAAACTTTACATCAAATCAAATAATGCAGAATATTCGCAATTAGATTTACTCATTTAATTAATTAATTTGCGAAACAAAATACGTTTATAAACGGATACGTTTGTGTGAGATTCAGAATTTATAACAAATCGAGAATGTGTAACAATAGTGGTAGAAGTATATCGTGCATGCAACGAAGGAAGCGGATGAACCGCGCCCACACTTAATTCAAGATCGATGGCTAAGTTTTCATTCGTTAAATCAGCTAGGCAAACCCGTCATTAAAACAATCGTAACAGCCTATTTTAAACATTGAAAGATTGAGTAACACGAGAAAAATTTAAAATTAAAAAAAAATAGCAAACACACTGCGTGAAATGTAAGTACATTAATTATCCGAATACACGATGTTTGTCTTTCGTGTTGTCTTTATTCGGCATAAACGTGTCTTCATTCGGATAAACGTACGGAGAAAATACAGATTCGGAGGCGAAAGCGTATAACGACACGGCATAGATGAGGTCGAGTGTATAATGAGCGAAAAAGTGGCCGATGTTAAAGCGAAAAATTTCATGACTGTCGAAACAGCGAGAGGGGCGAGAAGTGGGATGAGAGTTAACTGCGGTCGAGAAGAGCCGTGGCGCAGCGTTATACAAATAATGTGTTAAATAGAACTAAAATTACGTTGTCCCTTTATATCTCTTTGTCGCTACGCGCACGGAAAGCAAAGAACGGGATAGAAGGCCAAGAATGGAAGGCGTGGGACGCGAAATGCACTAGCTGCGAGGCGCACGAGCCACGTGGGTAGCATATAACAAAAATATTATAACGAACGATGAAAGGCGATGCAATAATAGCGCTCGGTGTTTAATAGATGGGAAAAAGTAAAAATACGCGAGACATCGCAAAATACAGGGGGAAACTAGATCGCTCATGTGCGGGATCTTCCTGCATGTACGGAATAAAAGTGAAATATGAGTATAAAGTATGCAGCGAGAGAGAAGATCCGAAGTGACGCGACTGGGACTACGCGTTACGGCTTTGCCGTCACGTAGAAAGTAAGGGGGGAAAAAAACCGAAGAAGAACGAGAATGGTGTGTAGGACGACCAAGTTGCCGCATCGCCGTGGTGCGGCGGGCAAATTGTATGACGTAGGCAAGGCGACCAACGGTGCATGCGACTAGAACGACCAGAGGCGCATGCAGAAGGTCTGGCTGCATGATGCGGGAAGGGATGCTATTTCTGGCGGCTTAGGTTTCCCTTTCTCCTCCCCTATGCGTCGCATTTCCTCCCGCGCACGACGCCTCGCCATGTCTCGTTTCTCTCAACTGGCACACAGATTTCTCCGTTTCAACGATCGAACGATTCGAGCCGCGTGGTTCATTTGATTTTTGAAATAATATTCTGTTTTACTTTATTTTTTTTTGTTTAGCAATTACATTAATTTCACTTCATCTACGAACTATTTTGACAAGTATTGTTAAGTAGTGTTAAAGTTAACTGTTGTTCAAATGAACTGCAGCGTGGTTTCTAAAGAAAACCAAAAGATAAATAACTTCAATTTCAACTAATATTTGTAGTAATATATGCTAAACGCAAAAACTGGTTTTTGTATAAAATCTTAAAAATATCCTCAAACGTGAAAGATTTCTTATACCGTTAAGAATTTCGTATGGTAAATGTGCAGAATACATTTTCTATTTTCTATCTTGATCGCGTAAATCAAGTTATTCGATATTGATTTCTTCGTATCAAAAATTTAACAGAGTATTTATTATATATCAACGTCTTCTCGCGTCAAGAACAATCAAACTAACACAAAGTTGTGAGTAACACAATAGATTATTCATAATAAAATCTGTATAATTGTTGCAGCTGGTAAAACATAGAAAATATTGATGATTTTATATATAAACTTAACATTTACTGAATGTCATAGGCTTTGTAAACATCTCAATATAACATATAGTGGACAAAAATGCATCGAAAATGGAATTAATCGAAAGACGAAATCGAAAACAAAAGAAAAATTCAAATATAAAATTTTTAACGTTTTACAAAATATTGAATAATAAAATCCTAGAGTTAATATACGTTTTATTATTTTTATTATTTTCCGCATTAATTCCTCACGTGCACATCGATTTATCCCATATATCTTGATAAATTTGAAAATATCAAAAATTTAAACTTTAGAGTACTTTTCCCGATTCTTTCATGTAAAAAAACTCTGCTCTTTGATAGGTTACATATTTATAAAATTGTAAGAAAACTTGATCTCAAAGAGCCGAATAGCTGTAGCAAACTTTTACAGAGACGCCACGTTTTTCGTGCGCCGTGAGCTTCTCGAGAAGTTAATCGGCCGAAGAAACCAAGAGTCTCGGGCCTCGACGCGACTGTTGTTCGCTGCTTCGCAACGTACGAATCAGCGGCGAACCAGACGCGTTCGGCTTCGCTGAGCGACGGACAGAGAGCTGGAGAGAAAAGAGGAGGAGAGGCACAGAGAAGAGAGAGGAAGAGAAAGAGGGAGAGAGAGAAAGAGATGACGGTGGTAGAGGGCGGAGGCGAGACGGACGAGGGTCAGTCGGTGACAGAGAGATGAAGGCTGAAGGCGCGTGGGGTGATAGCGGGGAGAGGAACCGGGAGGGGAACCGAGTGCCGGTTCTACGTTCATTCATAAAACGAAGGCGGAGAGCGACAAGGAACGAATTGTTAGTGGCACTCGCACAATCACCGGCTCGGCCAACGCGCTCGCCGCTTGCCAACGTCGTCGGGAGCGAGGAATATCCGTGGCGCGTCTCACGCGGTTGCCCATCGCTTGGACAATTGTTCGAAAAACATTTTAATTTTTTGCTTATACAATCGATGAAAGATCTGTACAGATGATCTCATAAGTTTTTGCGAATCTTCAATTTAAAACGAATATTAAGATGCGTCAGCCTATACTAATCACTAATGCGATAATTTAAAATAATTTTGATCTGATAACTTTGTAACATCTTGCATATAGAATTTCGTATAATTTTAATTAATTTTATTCAGAGATTTGGATAAGGCAAACTGCAGGTAATTATATTATTATTAATATTTGAAGAATTATATATAAAAATCGATCTTGGCGAAGTATTTCCTTCGTTTATGCCAATTTTTAGGTATAATTGTCGGAAAAGTATTTAAAAGTACAAATATGAAATAAAATATGGTACATTTTCTATGTATTCTGTTGTGTATCAAAGTTAATCAAAGTTGACTTACCTTTAATTGATTTACTTTTATGGATCTATGGTCGATGGGATAGCCGCTCTTTCTGGTTCCAGGACTTTCTTCGTAGAAGTCCTGTTCCTCGTCGTAGTCGTAGAGGGATTCCATGTCCATCTTGACTGTAAGGAAAATTACTTATTAATTACTTAATCACAAGGTAGTACAAGCAAAATAAGCGCTGATATGCAAATTATTATCTAAATTATCGCGTGAGTGAACGCACGCAAGAGGGAACATGGATTAAATTTTCTGAGCTTGCGTGGAACTCTTTCCCTGGATCACATGACACGACGCCCCAATTATAATTTTATACCGACTTCGCCGGCTTGGCACGATATTCTTGGTTCGCGGGATACATTTATTTATCAACCGTTAAATAGTCCGCTTTTAGGTACGCGGTCGATATCGTCCGGCAAAGAACGAGCTGTGGTAATATGAGCGAATATTTTAACAATCGGTAATTATATATATCTCGTCGCCTTACAATTATTCCAATGACTAATTATTAAACAATCTTTAAATCAATTTTTTTTTAGTTCGGAAAAGATTATCACCTATGTAATAGCATATGATTTGTGTTTTCTTATTACTCAAGTTATACGAGTTAGATAAGTTAGCAATTAGTGCAAATAAAATTTAAAAAATGTAGACGACAAAGTACGACAACAATTATGTTTCCACCTTCGTTCAAACAATGTATAATCATAAATTTAATTTAGTTTTAAAGTTTTGAAATCTCTTTAGACTTTTAAACAATTATATAATTAAATGTAAAATACCTCCATCCATTCCTTGAAACATTTAAAGACTTTCGCGTAAAATTTACTTCTATTTTTACTAATTAAACAAATTTATTGTGACAGACATTCAGATCTATCATATTGGATATTACGTAAGGCGATTTTATGAACAAGTTAATCTTGTGTATTAATTGGAAGGAAACTATTGTTTCTCGTGGATGGGGCGATGTGACGCGCAAGAGGTATTCGAATCCGCCGCAACGAAGATCAGGTTACTCCGGCTGGGACCCAGCCGCCAGATGGTAGACGGAAAACTGTTGGGCTACCTCGACTCTCACGACCCTTTACACGCAGCTAAAGTGCGTCTATACAAGAAGTTCCAAAATGTACGGACGGTAAAACACGGAGCTCCTTTAAAGCGGGTACTTTACTTTAACGCTGAATGAATCGTTTCCGTCTAGATTATCAGTCTAGCTTATCACTCGTGCCAAAAGATGATACGGCTTGCGAATACACTTTGAAGATATCGTTCAATATAATTGGCATTTTATAAATAATATTAAACGCTACCGTTGTTTATAATCTTCATTTCAGTTGTATAATAATGATTACTTGCTATATACAATATACGCTTACAATTATAGTATATATAGCGAGTACAATTTCCGAGAGAAAAAAAAAAGATATTAATTTAAAGATTATGCGTTCTATTATTAAAATTCCTATACAAATAATAAGCGTGGCACTCTCAACAGCTCGGTGATATGCACTCAACTAAACATAAAATAATTGCCTAACAGACCGATCGACCTTATCTCGGCAAATTGTCGCGGCACCCCTGTCGCGAAATTCGTCTGCGATAAAGAGAAAGCTAATTAAAGCGGATTTAGCTTATTTGTCGCAGACGATCTTTTAAGATTATCTTGATCCATAATCGCACGCGACAGTGATTGATATTTTTACGAAGATAACGCCCTTCGATGAGATCATACTTACTAAAAATAACATAGAAAGTTCACTTAAATCTAGATTAAACCTAGATTAATGAAAAAATGATAAATCATCATCATCATATCATATCATATCTGGCATCCCCCGCAACGTTAATATCCAAGCAAATGTTTCGGTTATCGTGTGAAAGTTAAGATTAGCTTCTCGAAATTCTCTAACTGCGCGTATCTAACCGTGTTGGATATGATAGCGAATGTTATTGGACGCTTGCGTGGACTTGTTACAATTTGTTGGGCATATTCCATTATCGTCCAGATATTTATCTGCGACGTAAAGATACCGTGTGATATTCCCAGAAACTGTTTATCGCGAATAGCGAGGGAAAAAAAGGGGGGAAAAGGATGTCGGGCAATACCATCACTGAAATATCAGTGATGGTATTGTCTCGCCGTTTCTAAGTTCTGAAATAGATCGCGCGAATAAATTCAAGATAGCTGATAGCATTATCGCATATTAATGAGATGAAACGTTATTTGATATGTTATTTGATTTGCAGGGCAATCAATTACTCTGCAATAACGTACTCAAAGAGGCTGTTTATTTCATAAGTTATCGATATCTTGAACTCACGAGTCGCCATATTACTCGTATAAATTTATTACTTTAAAAATTATAATATTTTTACAATATAACAGTATAACATTTATTAATTTTATTACATATATTTTATAAATTTGTATAAATTACATATAAATTTTACGCCCTTGGACTGCATATAACTCACGGATAAATTCGAAATTAACTTCCGTATAATATTTTTATTTTACTTATTTACTTTATTTGTTCGTTTTTTCCAGTTACGCACGTTATCATCGATCAATCGATGATATATGCCCGTTATCAAGAGAATCAAGTATCCAGATAGACAACCGGTTACAAGCGGATGCAAAACCAGTAAGTAAATAATACTACTAATCCATCAAATTCGATACTATATTTTTTAATTACATATCTTGTTTTATTAAAACTTTAAAAACGACTTCAGATGCAATGTCTAGATTGGATATGCCTAGAGTATAGTCTAAATTTTCGTAGATTTTTTTTTCTTCTTCGGGACGCGCACGTTTAGGAATGTCTTTCATTCTTGTGTCTACCTGCTTCTTCGAAACCTCTGACCGAGCGAAAAAATGTTTGGAAAAAAGATTACTCGATAAGGAGGGTAAAATGGCATTTTGTCTCTATTCGTTCTGAATGTAGCGTAAGCCTGGGATGCTAATGCTTCATTGTGGCTATGTGGTATTGCACAATAGTATATTGGCTACAATGCTTTAACTTTTGCCTGCGGGAAATATACGTAATAATTAAAATCGATCGTGCACCTCTGCGTGTATGTGTGTGTGTGTGTGTGTGTGTGTGTGTGTGTGTGTGTGTGTGTGTGTGTGTGTGTTATTTCATTAAATTATAAATATACTTGAGATAGCATTAAATAATTGATTTATTTTATCGAGATAAAAGATAACAATTTTTGTATTTTTTACTTTGATACTTAATGTGTCAAAATTTCTTTTAATTAATTAAATTTAATTTTTAAAATAATATTTAAAAATACTTATATTTTTATATTATTCGAATTCTGCTATCAAACAAACGATTGTTTCGCGTAGTATCTAAAATGCTTATCATGATTTTTGACATTTATTGTTATGTAATATATTTTAATTCTATTTGGCCATCAGGTAAATTAGGGTTTAATATATAACGAATTTTTGAAGGACATACATACTTTATTTGGAAGCGTCAGTTCATTATCAGTCAAATTATTGCTGTGTAAGTGTATGTGCATTCTAGCATATGATAACGTTATTGCGTCCTAACGTTAACGATAACGCGCAATAGAGTCGAACGCTCAAACGGTGCGATATGCTATATTAATACGTGTCCAAAGTAGCCCGTCCGTTGAAAAAGTGAAGTGTCTATTGTCTAAATCTTATTGAAAGCAACATAATATCTTTTAAGGGCCTGTTATACCGGGTTTCCACATGCGGGCAGACGAACCATTCACGTTGTGTCTAACGCGTACGCACCCGTATGCCAACCTCAACATCATTGATGGTCCACTGTGTGAGAGAAAGATTATGAATCATCGTTGATTTTGGATGGATCGCAAGTAGGACTCTATCCACTAGCAAATTAGGTCCGAATTAATTTCGACAAACAGGCCAAGGCGTTCACAGGTCAACATTAAGAATCGCATCTCAATTTTAATATTAACATCAACTTAAGATTTATAGTCAAAAAATTTTTTGCTATATAAAATAATTTATATAACGATTCTACGAATACTCCAAAGTGTAGCTTGTAATTTCATTAAATTATTCGCAGCTTTGTATTTTTTGAAAATTATGTGTAACTTGTAAGATTATCGCTATTTCGAATCTATCTGTTTGAATATCTATCTCTTTCTTCTTCTCCTTTTATTGGTTCTCGATTTTCAACACTGATTCGAGACGGCGAGAGAAGTGAAGTCGAAACGGCACGAGAAAAAGTGTAAGCGAATAAAACATTTTAAGTACAAATATTTATTAGAAATTATAGAAGTCAGTTAGTTTCGTCAGAAATTTTCAAAAATTTTTGTCCGCGATTCTTTCGAAATGACGTAACTTTTGAGTCTAAGTGTCTGTATTTCAGGCAAAAGAAACATTAATATTTAAATAAATGACTTGTAAAAAATGTTGTACCTTCGATAAATGTAAAAGTTTCGTGAAAAATTTTCAAAAATTTATGTCCATGACTCTTTTGAAATGACGTAAATTTTGAGTCTCTGTATTCCAGGCAAAAAAAACGTCGATATTTAGATGAATGATTTCTAGAGAATGTCGTATCTTCGTATCTTTTATCGAAGAATATCGCTCCTGTTTCGGGTCAGTCAAGCGTCTTCGTGTCACTTCTTACGAAGCGCTCCTCCCTCTTTGTCACCGTTCGTCGTCTTGGCAAACGAAAACGGCAAGAAAAAGGAAGGAAACATGAAAAGGATGAGGAAAGAAGAGAGAAAGAGAGGTAGGAATGGTGAGATGAAAGGAGACAAGTCGCGACGTTGCCGCGCCATGGTGAGACCTGAGAAATTCTGCAAAAACCTCCGGCCATATCTGATGCAAGCCATCACATTTCTCTCGTTTTCCTTCTTTTACAAGGTTTTACATTATTCCAAATCATTTTTGTTAGACGATATAAAAGACGCTTCCAAACAGAAATAAAATATGATATAAAAGATATAAAATTATACATCGTAACAACCAAAGAACTTTTATAGAAAAGGCCGACGAATCACGTATAATGTCAATTGATTTTATCTGATGGCCGCGGGGTTGTGAGTAATAAAATATATATCGACAGTAAATTCGTAGGCGTAAAAGGGAGGTTTCTCTCGCTAAAGATTTCAAATTGCCGTCGTTATGATTTACGTGCCTATCGTGATTCACGTCACATGACCTCCCGAGTTTAATGGCAAAAAGTTTTTCTTGTCAACTGGTCTTTAGCTATATTCTAAATTGACCCTTTGTGTAATGATAACCTCGCATAGCGCGAGCGACATCGTACCGCCTGCCTTCTCGTTATCAAAGTCGGTTTCATTGTTATTTCACGATAAGACTATTTCAGCGTACAATTCTTTTCCATTTCGTAGTCATGAGACTCGCAAGATAAATCTTTTTCGCGAGGTAACAATAAGCACGGCACACATCGGCTGAAAAATAAAATATTTATTTTTTTCAAGGCTCGATAACATAACCGAATGCATCGTTCAATTTTTATCTTATTTTTATCGTGCGATTAATAAATTGAAAATCTGAGACGGATCTTAAATGAGTTATTCATAACAATCATCGATTTCACGACGATATTTATAAAGCTTGCGTCTGCGGGGAAAACAGCAAAATTAAATTGTTTCAGTTTTCACATTTCTTCTATATATTTTTTAATATTTTCTCCAAGCTATTTTCTTCAATGTAAAAAAGGAAAGTAATTAAACGCATTCTTTTAAAATATTAAATTAGACTTGGAAACCTAAAAGAGACGATAATATACATTTTTCTCTGCATCCCTTATTTTTTTTAGGTACTTTCCTACAATCTCCAAGTACTGTTTCTCCGTATTTATAATCACATATAATAACCACGACAAATATTTAAAAACAAAAAGGGGAGAAGGTGCTTTTATTTTTAGACGAACGCGATACGAGGAGGCGTTCCGAATTCGACGACGTCCGCTAAATCATAAAACCACCCGCGCGATCTACTCCGACGAAGGAAAAAAAAAAAAAGAAAAAAAAATCACAGATCACCCTCAACGCGATACTTGCGGAGCGATTTGTGCGAAGTTGGTGGCAATGACGCCCGCGCGAAACCACGCATAAATAAGCTTCGGAGCTGGCTCTCTAATCGGAGCACTTGAAGTTAAAAACCCGATCCGCGCCTGCGAGAGCGAGCGGCGAGAGGAATTCCGCTCTTTAATGATCCATTCATAAAGCCGGAGCCGAACGGGCGCGAAGATAAAACCGCGCGTCACTCCGTCGAACGCGGCTCCTCCGCGAAAGCACGTAGCTAGCGAAAGCTCTTTCCCCGTAAGCCCGGCACCCGTCAATGACACGTACGGCACAGAGTCGTCGTGCGTCGACGAGAAAGATCATCTCTCTCGGGGGCCGATCCCAAGCTCGGCTCGGCTCGGCTCGAGGCTCATCGCTCCGCGATTCTTAAGGCGCTACAGCACAAAAACTGATCCGCATTTTTCTCCAACGCACCTGTCTCGCCGCTAGCTGGTGTCCCGTGGGTTCAACGCTGATAACTTCCAGCCGGTGGTACGCTCGCACACGGGAAACACCATGCAAAAACGCGACGCAAAGCGGGAATCACGTGTACGACGGCGAGGCGCACGCACATCGGCAGCAGCACTAACGCAACGACGCGGTGCGCACGGTTGTACCCCTCGGAGCCCCCGGTGTATACACAATATACAGATTACAGGAGTATGATGGCCGCGCGTTCCTGACGTTCATGAATGAAACTAACGCGCGCTACTAACTTGGCGTCGTAATTTCGGCCGGCGGCCAACGGCTTGCGAATGGTCGTACGTATCACGGCCGTCACGTGACTCGGCAAGTTCCGCCGCGCTTCGGCAAATGGCGGCCGCCGCCGCCGCCGTCGCCGCCGCCGCCGCCTGCCGCCGCCGCCTGCCGCCGCCGCCGCCTCGTCGTCGTTCGTTGCCATCACGAACGTCCCACGTTGATGATCGCGTGAAAATTAATTGAACAACAAACAGATCCTTCTGCCACTTATTACTGCACGCGTAAAGTCTCTTGTAATGCTAAAGATGTATATTAAATTGGAGCTTATCGTGAATTTATTTAGGATCGAAATATATACTATTGTATTGGACATTTCTAGGTGTTTATGCAGAAACGTCGGTAAACTAGTCTACTGAGATATCGTCAAAGACGATAGTTCGCGATTCTAAATAACGTCTCGTAATTATTCATCGCGTAAGAAACTGAGAAGACATTCTGCGACAGGAGTTGTTAAAAATCAATTATTGATGTTGTATTATATGCTTATAATTTATATCGCGGTAATTGGAAAAATTTACATCGATAGTCGATAAAATCAAATGAAATCTCTTCGATTACCTCCAAACTTGATCATTTTGCTGTAATAATCACGAAAGTTTTATACAATCCTATCGAAAAAAAAATTAGAATAATGGTATATAATGATATATTCTGTAACATAAGAAATAAACGAGGAGTATTTCCGTAGCCCAAATAATACGTGTAATACATAATATTAATTAATTCGATAGAATTAATCTATAAAGAATTTCAGTCACAAAGAATGACATAATTTTGATGCGGATATGTATGTTGTATATACAATCAGGATACGTTTTATGCAAAATGCGTATGATGTATAATCATTTCGTCCTTGTTTAATGTTCACATAATATTCATAAACAAACAATAAAATAGCACATCATGCGTAAAGGCCCATCTACCCATAAGTCGCAAACGCAAAACGTAAACATAAACGCGCCATGCGGACGTTTCTCTCTTTCTTTTTTTTTTGACGTTTCTTTCTTTTTTTTTCCTCCGCATTTGCGTTGTGCGTTTGTAACTTATGTAGATATATATGGGGCTTAAAAAAACAAACGCGTCCTAAAATATACACGTGTGCGTACCTCGCGACAATCGCACTCCGGTTTGCCTCATCTCGGCGAGCAGACGCCGGCCAAATCCTCGGCGAGGAGTTCGTCGGACGAGCACGACATGGAAGCGGTTCGCCGGATCGGCGTGCAACGACGATTGAGCGCCAGCATGGGCGACGTCGAGCATCCCCGGTGCGTGGGACGATGGTATCTCGTGTACGGGACTCGTCCTCGGACGGCTCGGATCGTCGGCAACGGCGTGCGACGCAGGACGGGCAGGACGATCCGGATGCGGATCCGCATCCGTCGCGACGCGTTCCATTACTGAAATCTCTCGTCGAGGCGCCAAATTGCGATTTTCAAAAGGGTCAGAGGAGCGAACCAATCACAGGTTCTCCCGATCGTTCCGCACCTTCGATCCGCACCTTCTGCACTCGACACTAGGCGAGAGTGTTACCCGTTTGGCGTCTCTACGGAGAAAGAAAAATATCGATTTGCGACGCATGGAAGATTTTTAAGCACGCGTGCGAAAAAAAAGATTGCCACAATTATTTCTGATTAGTCTACCTACTTGTCTGCTTGATTTCGATAACCTCATAACCTCAAACGTACGAATGTGGTGTGTCGAGAATTCGACAGCTACCGACAGCGCGATGCGGGTATTGTTGGTAGCTCTAAACTCCGCCAATCAGGTGACGGCTTTCCGTCAATGGTAGTGCTGTTATGTAGAATTGTATTGAAAAAGGCGGGCTCCGATCAGCTGCGACAGGCCGACAGCGCATTGTGTTGTGTGTGCAACAGGCGGACGCGCGACGATGACGGTCTGTGCACGCTTGCTTTGATGAGGATTTTCTCGATGTTGTTCCTCGATTACTAACATTTATCTGGTGTATGTTGGAGAAATATCATCTCGTTCGGCATCCTCGAAATGGAAACTTTGCAGAATACCGGAGCTGTCCGTCCGCCTAGGGCGGTCAACAAGAGATATCCGAATCAAGAGGCCAGCGCGCAGGGGTACGATAATCTTGAGGCTTGTTTTGCTTTGATTTTACATCTTATTCTTCCCTCTAAATTTTTAACATTTTCAGGGAAAATGCACTGGGAAGATTGCTCGAGATCAAGGAGGATATCAGAATCGACTCTGTTTACGGATTCCGTCGAGTCACCGACTCGAAAGAGAGGATAGGATTTTTGCTCAATATGCACGCGGTGAGGGAAACGGAAGATTGAGGAAATTACGGTAAATAATTTCTTCTTGCACAATTGATATACAAGATTCTGTCTTTGCGCAGACGGAGATTGTCGAGGATGATAAGCGTCTGTTGAGTGGCGTGGATTACTACTTCATCGAGGAGGATGCTACCAGATTTAAGGTGTCACTGCCGTTTTCGCCGTACTTTTATATTTTATGCCGTAAAGATACATTTGAGGAAGTGTCGACGTTTTTGTCCAAGAAGTACACTGGAATTTTGACGAGGATCGAGACTGTTTACAAGGAAGATCTTGACTTGGTAGGCTGGGCTTCTAATTAATATACGATTAATTATTAACAGCTATTTTAATCGTACGTGTTTTAGAAATTAATTTAAATAGTATCTCCTTTTTTCTGATTCTTTTTATTTTTTATTGTTTAGCCTAATCACTTGATTGGTCTGAAACAAAAATACTTGAAGCTTTCTTTCGCGAATATAGTTGATTTGACGAAAGTTAAGCGCGACATTGTGCGCGTCGTTAAAGTTAACAAAGAGCGAGAGAAAAGCAATACTTACTACACAGACATGCTAGCGACCACTTTGCAACCAAACGAACAGGATAGCGGTAAACAGATTTTAGATCACATGGATAATATTCTTGATATTAGGTAATTTTTTTCTTTTTTTTCTTTTTGTATTAATATTTCTTTATTATTTCTTGATTTCTTTAGCATTACTTGATTTATACTGATACGTTGAATTATGATTGTTTAGGGAACATGATGTACCTCATCATGTCCGGGTGTCTATAGATGCTAACATCTTCTGTGGAATTTGGTATTCGGTAAAGAGCAGAGGGAGCGAGCCGCCTATAATCACGCGAAAGAAAGACATGATCGAACCGCCTGAACCTATTGTGTTAGCATATGATATTGAAACAACAAAGCTGCCACTGAAGTTTCCAGATGCCAGTATCGATCAGATTATGATGATATCGTATATGATAGACGGGCAGGTAATATATCTTGTTTCACGAAATAAATAATGCTTATCACTTAGCTTTTTATGTTGGCAGTTAGATAAATAATTTTTGTTCTGTCACTTTTAAAGAGAGTTCATGTATTTAATACATTTTCTTAGGGATACTTGATAACGAACAGAGAATTAATCTCTGCGGACATACGAGATTTCGAATATACACCAAAGCCGGAATTTGAAGGACCTTTCACGATATTCAACGAGCCTAATGAGAAGGCAGCTATAACAAGATTTTTCGATCATATCAATGAGATTAGACCGCATATATTCGTAACGTACAACGGCGATTTCTTCGACTGGCCGTTCGTCGAAGCTCGTGCAGCTATACACAACATGGACATGAAAGAGAAAATTGGTTTTTCCAAAAATCGCGAAGGTATTTACGTCTGTCGAGCTGCTATGCACATGGATTGCTTATGGTAAATATTCCGTGAGATATTTTTACTGTGTAATCCACTGCAAATATTCTTATCACAAGTCGTTTCTTAGTTGGGTGAGACGTGATTCTTACCTCCCAGTGGGTTCTCAAAACTTAAAAGCTGTTGCTAAAGCTAAATTGAGGTATGATCCAGTGGAACTCGATCCGGAAGATATGTGCAGATTAGCATCGGAAGAGCCTGAAGTGCTCGCGAACTATTCTGTCTCGGATGCTGTGGCAACATTTTATCTCTATCAGAAATACATACATCCCTTCATATTTGCGTTATGCACTATTATTCCTATGGAACCCGATGAAGTAAGAATATTGTACAATATATAGTGCACAATTAATTTTATATACATACGCTTTTTCTCAAACGCGATAATCTACATTTTGATTTTATTTGATTTATTTTTAGGTACTCAGAAAGGGATCTGGTACGCTGTGCGAATCACTTCTTATGGTGCAAGCTTTCCAAGCTAATATTATATTTCCTAATAAACAAGAAACCGAGCTAAATAAACTGACAAAGGACGGCCATTTGCTTGACCAAGAAACCTATGTGGGTGGACACGTGGAGGCCTTGGAGTCTGGTGTTTTTAGAGCTGACATCCCTTGCCGTTTCAAAATTGTGCCGAGCGCCGTGGACGAATTAATCGGTGGTGTAGAAAATGCCTTAAAGCACACGATACAAGAGGAGGAAAAAATACCGATCGACATGGTTACGAATTTCGATGAAATAGTAAATGAAGTTAAGGGGAAATTGAAGGAGCTCAAGGATCAACCTTTGAGATTAGAAAATCCTGTAATTTATCACTTAGACGTTGGCGCTATGTATCCTAATATAATTTTGACTAACAGATTGCAACCTTCCGCGATAGTAAATGAAATGGATTGCGCGGTGTGTGATTATAACAAACCTGATGCTCTCTGCCAAAGGAAGATGCAATGGATGTGGAGAGGCGAATATTGTAAGTTTGAACATAAAATTCTACCACAAGTTATCTTTATATTATTATTATTAAACTTGTTTCTTCGCAATTTATACTGTAACTATGTTATTTTTGATTAACAAATTTTAGTGGCTGCAAGTTTGGGTGAATATCAGAGAATAAAGCAACAATTAGAAACTGAAAGGTTTCCACCACAATTTCCTGGTGGTGCTAAGAGAGCTTTTCACGAATTGACCACGAAAGAGCAAGCTACATTTCAAAAAACTAGGCTTACCGAATATTGTAAAAAAGCATACAAAAAGGTCAAAATTACCAGAATGGAAGAGAGGACGCAAACGATTTGTCAGAAGGAGAATTCGTTTTATGTAGACACCGTGAGAGCGTTTAGAGATAGAAGATATGAATACAAAGGATTAACTAAAGATGCCAAGCGACAAGTGGCAGCAGCGGTCGCGAAAGGAGATGCGGCTGACATAAAATCTGCCAAGAATAGGGAAGTTTTGTACGATTCTCTTCAGCTTGCTCACAAATGTATTCTCAATTCTTTCTACGGCTACGTTATGAGAAAAGGGTAAGTGTTAAAATAGAATATACATCAAGATACAACATTTTTATTGTATTTTAAAATTATTTTTATTGTATCTTGAATTTATTTTAAAAACTAACTTTATTATTATTTTTTATTATCTACTTTAAAATTACATTACAGAGCGCGATGGCACAGCATGGAAATGGGTGGCATCGTATGTTACACAGGGGCCCATATTATTATGAAAGCTAGAGAAATTATAGAAAAGATTGGTCGCCCATTGGAACTAGATACTGATGGTATATGGTGCATATTACCTGCGTCTTTTCCAGACTCTCTTATAGTTCACACTACTCATGAAAAAAGGTCGAAATTTACGATCTCGTACCCGAATGCGGTTCTTAATTTTATGGTGAAGGTACGCATAAGTGAATAAGCAGTATACATTTCTTTTCTTTCGATTACTATATCTTTTTATTTTCTACAGGATCAATTTACTAATGAAGTATATCACGAGCTTGTGGATAAAGATAATTTAACATACGAAATCAAAAACGAGAATTCGATATTTTTCGAAGTTGACGGACCGTATCTAGCGATGGTGTTACCCGCCGCCAAAGAGGAAGGGAAAAAATTGAAAAAACGATATGCAGTTTTTAATTTTGACGGTTCGCTAGCCGAGTTAAAAGGATTTGAAGTGAAAAGGAGGGGTGAATTGCAACTGATAAAAATTTTTCAAGCCTCTGTTTTCGAATCCTTCTTAAAGGGAGACACATTAGAAGAATGTTACGCTTCGGTCGCGAAAGACGCAGATTATTGGCTGGATTTACTGTACAGCAAGTGTGCGAATATGCCTGATTCCGAATTGTTCGAGCTGATATCCGAGAACAAGTCTATGTCGCGTAAGCTGGAAGACTACGGCGCGCAGAAGTCCACGTCGATTTCTACGGCTAAAAGATTGGCCGAATTCTTGGGCGATGAGATGGTCAAGGATGCAGGTTTAGCTTGTAGATATATTATAGCGAATAAGCCGCAAAGCGCACCGGTCACCGAGCGCGCGATACCGTTGGCTATCTTCCAATCGGAGCCGGCTGTGCGAAGACACTACTTGAAGAAGTGGTTGAAGGATCCTACCTTGTACAGCGATGATATAAGAGATATCTTGGACTGGAATTATTACATCGAGCGACTCGGCAGCGCTATTCAAAAGATCATCACTATACCAGCGGCGATGCAGGGCTTAGCGAATCCAGTTCCACGAGTGCAGCATCCACCCTGGTTACATAAGAAAGTGACGGAGAAGAGTACGTCCCATCGTCAGAAAAAGATCACAGATATATTTTCTGTGGTGGCTAACGACACATCTCGCGCGAACAGCGCCGAGCAGCCCCGCGATATTGAAGATCTCGCGGTCGCAGGACCGTCCACCAGCTTCAACACTCCGGTTGTTAATCAGAGGAAGAGGCAGCATTCAGACGAGGACGAGGTGGTCAGGGCCAGGAGTTGGAAAGAGGCTCTGGGTTCACCTCCTCCCAGGGGAACAACGAGAGAGGAGAAGCTCAAGTGGTTGGAGTTTCACAAGAAAAAGTGGGCCTTCCAGGCTAAACAGAGGCATCGCCATCGGCAGAAGAGGAGCAAGACGGACGAGAGCGACGGAATTGCTTGGGGAGTTATACGAAATACGAATACGAATACCATGACCGGCTTTTTGAGACGCGCTCAAAGGAAATTGCTGGAAACTCCGTGGCAAATCGTTCAGCTGTCGGAAACCGGTGAGCCCGGCATGTTTCGTATGTGGATACTGGTCGACACGCAGCTGCATCAAGTGCGGCTCGTAGTGCCCCGCATATTTTACGTCAACACTCGCAAACCGAGGCCCGATCCGGGGCCCAACGAGCTCTGGAAGAAGAGCTTCAAATCGTTGCCACGCTCTCGCCCGGTGTACAACTTGTATCGATATTCTCTGCCGGAATCTCTGTTTCAAGAGCACAGCCGGGAGCTCCTGGAGGATCTGAGTAAGCCGGAAATTGAAGGAATCTACGAGACGCAAATGTTACTGGAATTTCGGGCCATATTGGAGCTGGGATGCGTGTGTATGGTCGATCCGCGTGCCGCGCGTAAAATGGCAGACGGAGCCGACACCTTCACTCTGGATCAATTGGAGTACAAGAACATCGGCTTTCGACCTTACCTCAAGCAGACCCAGTCGATCAACTGCATATTCCTCTATCATCATTGGAGCGCGAATCGTCAGAGAGCACTGTGGGGCTTATTCCTGAGCGCCAGCAAGAGAGCTCACATATTCGTCTTGGATTCGGTCGCCTCCAATCAGCTGCCGGGCATGGGTACGCTGTACACGCAGGAACGTAAGGCAATGTTGGAAAAAATTGGCGAAGACAAGATGAACAAGTTGCCTAAAACTATGCAGTTCGTCGTGCAAGTTGAGACGAACTTTCAGCAGGTGTGCCGTACGCTGCAGGCGGCCCTGACAACGTATAAGAACGAAGGCCGCGGCGCTACGATTATTATCAATCAAACCGCTCTCGACCGAACGCTGTTAACCACCGAAATGCCGCTTCTCAACGAATTCCCACTCGTCAGCACGCACGTGCGAGACGTTGAGAATCTGTACGGTACGTTGGAGTGGCAGAAGATTGGCGCGAAAATGATGGTCAGACACTACCTGAAGAGTCAACAGATCTTCGAGCTGATGGCGGAACAATGCCGATTCTTTCACGTGCCTATCGGCAACGTGCCCGCCGATCCCACGCTCTTCGGCGCGGATCTGTTCTACGCCCGAAATTTGCACAGGAACAATTTTGTCCTGTGGTGCTCGCCCACGGAGAAGCCCGACTTGGGCGGCAGCGAGAACGACGACAACAGGCTGCTGACGGACTTCGAGGAGAGTTCGAGCTGCGCCGCGAACAATCCCGGCACGTATTCCAGCGTTTGCGTTCAGTTGGACGTAGACAGTTTGGCGATCAACGCGTTGTTGCAGTACAATCATATTCACGATATAGACGGAACCAGCACGTTCGTGGCGTTTCACAATCAACAGCGTCCATCCGTTCAGGTCAGTGTCTCGCACATCTACCGAATAAAATTTGTTTGTAAGAATGCATGCTCCCTTTTTTTGAATTAATTAACAATCGTATCCTTTGAAATTTCGTTTGTAATAATTTCTTCGAGTTGACAATATTATAATTATATAAAATTGAATTCAACAGGACATGGCGATGGGCGGCGACGCTGCGAAAAATATTCCCAGTTACGACGAAATTACTCTCTGCAATCCGGCGTTTAAAACGTTGCGAAGTATGGTAAATGCATGGCTGCTCGACGTATCCGTGTATAAAAATGAATTCGCCGACTACCAATTGATCCACTTCTATCGGTACGCTATTCATACCGTTATTAATCAATTAATAACAAATTATTTAATTACGTACTACTTTTTTTCATATAAATGTGCATGCATATATTCGTATGACTCCAGGTGGTTGAGATCTTCAAATGCCTTGCTTTACGATCCTGCTCTACGCCGTACTCTACACACTTACATGAAAAAGTTATACATACAATTAATAGCAGAGTTCAAAACGTTAGGTTGTATTGTAGTATTTGCAAACTTCAACAAGATCATTGTATGTACGAAGAAAAGATCTGTGAGCGATGCTTTAGGCTACATAGAGTTTGTTGTCAAAACCATACAGAACAAAGAGCTGTTTCACAGTATTGATATTAGTTATGCTCAATGTTGGGAGTATCTAATATGGCTTGACCTGGTATGATATTTATCATTTATGTAATTCATGAAGTAACGTTAATACTATTTTATGTAACATAAATTTTATTATATATATTTGATTTATTTACAGCACAATTATGCTGGTGTTAAAGCGCAGTTACCTAAAAATAATACTGAAGATAATAATAATACGGAAGATGATGAAAATACTGAAAACGACGACGACGATGACGACACGGTAAAAAAAAATTAACACTTAGATATTTGTAGAAATTGCACTGATAATTCTTATTTGATGATATTTTTCTAATGTATTAAATTATTTTTGTTTAAATAGCCCCAAATAGTGATGAATTGGAGTTTGATGGAGTGCTTGCCTAAAGAAGCAGGATGTTATGCAAGTTTTAACGCTGTAGTAGCAGGATATATACACGCAGTGTATCAATGTATGATTGAGACCGAACCCAATAATACTATAAGGCCGAGAAGAAGACACAGTCAAAGCCAATCATTTATAGCACCACTTGGTTTAGGTGCATTGGAAAATACAGCCGAGTTTGCCAAACAATTGATATCAGGAGAAATGTCTCAGAGATTGTTCAAGTATATATATATTTATCTATTTTATATAATTCACTTAGCATCGATATTTTATACATTTGAGAATAGTTTAAATAACCAATTTTTTATTATTTGCAGAATAGCCCAAAAGATACATCGAAATCTGCCGGAAAAAACATTGACTCTCCTGGAGTATCCTAATGTGGATATGGGTGGAAAAGAAATTATAAAAATCAATCCTGCACTTGAATTAATCAAAGCAGTGTGCAAGGTAATGTCATACGCTTTATAAATATTCCAAGAACAGAATGCGCTCACAGAGAGGATATTAAAAATCTCTGAAAATTTCTGAAGGTTTTATCTCTGGACAAAGAGGTGGAGCACGAGGTTTTCGACTTGAAGGCAAATCTGTTACGGCTAATTGGAGTCGGCAGCTACGGCGACAATGTTGAGTGGAAGGAACCGTGTATTTCTCTCGTTCTGCCAGAAGTTATATGCAAAGCATGCAATCACACGAGAGATATTGATCTTTGTAAGGATGAATATTGCACAAATGAAAATGACAGGTACGTTAGATATGGAAATAATGTTTAGACTAAATAAACGACTATTAAGATAAAAATGTATGCTTCATGTTATTAATATTATTGCAGGCACATGTGGAAATGTCCTACCTGCAATACATCTTACGACAATACAGAAATAGAATTTTCACTGATTGACAAGTTGAATCGCAAGAGCATGGGTTACGTATTGCAAGATCTACAATGTCGAAAGTGTAAGGAGATCAAGCGAGAAAACATGAACATGCTATGTTCTTGCTCGGGCGAATACGTTAATTTAATCTCGCGAGACGAAATCACGACATATGTAAATATTTGTAAATCTATAGCCACCAAATGTAAAATGAATATTTTGGCCGAGATAGTGGAGAACACGAAACTTTTTACGAATTAGTAACTAAATCAAGATCTTTTCCCTTAATAATAATTTATATTTTTATCGTTACAACAAACTTATTTGTCTTGGACTATTTAGGTCGATGAAAAAGATTAAAATAATTTAGAACTACGTATGTATTTTTAGGATGAATTACTTAATATTTAATAGTTCAACAGTACATGAGTATGCTATGATACATATCAACATATATATGTTCATTTTTTACCCGTATCCACAGGTGGATCTAAAACAAAATGCAGCATACATTAAATCGTTTTAGCTATACACATATGTTTGCACGTATGCAAAATTTGTAGTAATTTTTGAATATAAAAAGTAATAAATATCAAATGTCTGGAAGATATAAGTGAAAGTAACGTACCCACAAATTGGAACTGAGGAAATTTTGTCATATCTACTCCTTCCCCACCACCATATTGCGCGCTAAGTTTCTCTAATTCGGATTGCCGTTCTTTTATAATTTCTGGACTGGGGTCAACCAATTTTCCATTTCTTCAAATAGAACACAATTTTTTTGTATTTAATAAATTCTCCTATTTTAGATCTTAATATATATTTCATATATAATTACAAAATAGGTACATTAATTAAAGAATCTGATTAATTAGTTTCATATAATTACTGATTTCATAGCTATGTAAAATACTCTTGTAACTCTTAACTTTATTTGTAACTAAGGACAGGTATATCCAAATAGAATTTAAGTTATTATTCCAATTAACACTATTCAACTTAATAATGCTTTATTAAACAGAATAATTGCTACTTTTTGGTGCAAATACAATGAATAAATACAAATTGAATAAACATAGATAGCTTTCTCAGTTTTTTTTCTATTAAAAATTCAGATATATTATTCTCTTTTAAGTATAAATAATTTATAAATGTTTCCCAGTAAAATTCCAAAAATCTAAAAGTGTACTTACCCGCCTTTGGACTTGTACTCCCGGAGTTTGTCGAGGAAGAGCTGCTGTATAGGATCAGTTGCTTTCTGCAAAGCGGGAACATTGGTGCTGATGTTACGTTTAATAGCTTTCGGTACACTGGCGAGACGTGACCTCAGCATGATTGCCTGAAAAAAATCATGTACAATTTTGAGAGAGACTTCTATACCCTTGTCCTTTCTTGTCAACAAGTAGCTTCTAAGAGCTTTTATTTTCTGCGCGACAAGCATGAATTGTCCAAGTACACATCTCTCGATTACATATCGAGATAATTACGAATTCTAAATCATGCATTTTTTTTTAATATCGTGTTGAGTTTTGTTAGAATAAAAATAAGTCGCCTTTCATACGCCTCTTACGTAATAAATGCAATAACATTTGTTAGCTGGACCCAATCAGTATAGGTTAAAACGTGGATCAAACATACTATTCCATTCGTAAATAAATTCACGACAGTGACATTTAAAAAGTATTACATGTCATATGTATGTCATTAAATAGTTAATGCATTTATTTTTATTGTGTTTAGCACCTACAACACATACAACTCCGTATTTTCTTTAAAAAGACAATCACCGGAGTAATCGAGAAGAACCAATTAAGAGTGACGTAAAGGGAGTCCATAAACTAGATATAATAAAGACGCGCAACTCCAAAACTCCGAATAAATTTTGTAAAAAGCACCGACGAGATACTATTAAGACCGTCAACCCTGGGTAAATTTTCGTGCCGGCCAAATGGTCCGGAGGTAATTGCAGAGCGTCGATATTATCAATTTTTGACATAAATTTGCGATTTATTTGTATAATACCATACATTATTAAATATTTTTTAAAATATCAGTGTGAAATAATTTTCTGCTAGTATTGAATTAATAATTGTTAATTAAATTCTGTCCCTTTTTATCTTTATTAATTATTAATTTTTATTAATGTAGATTAACTTTAATCTATTTACTTAATTTTAAGAATTACAAAAAAATAAAAGATAAGTTAAACCGAGATTAAAATTATTCTACATTGATCAGAACGGTCAGAACTCAGAGTTTAATCCGGATACAATCGAATTAAATCGCCCTAGTGATCTCGATATATTTCTTAAGTCCTTGCACGGGAAAACGATTGACAGCACTGCGTTGTGGCAAGATGGCGCGGACAGGATTTCCGGCGGCGGTGTGCCATCGAGTTCTCTAACCTCGAGTCGTTCGTGCCCGCGAGCGGCTTGTCGTGACGTGACGTGAGTTGAATCGATGCGTGGCAAGCCCAACCGAGCATCGGCATGACGGACGCAGACGTGGTGGTGCTGGAAGATCCCGTCCAGAAGGAGGAGGTGGCGGCGCACTTTCAAGCGCCGGCGATCCAGCACAATCCGGACGGCTGGGGCCCCTGCGAATTACCGGATCAGTTTAAGGACATTCCTTACCAGCCATTTTCGAAGGGCGACAGATTGGGCAAGGTAAGAGGTTGCCTCGCCCGCCCTTTACTTTCGTCCTGCAAAATCGCGCTAACTCTCCGGTTCGTTGTGTTTCCCGCAGATTTCCGACTGGACTACGCCGGCCTTCCAGGACAAAAAGTTCCCAAGTACGTATCTCGCTTTTTGCCGACCGCTCACGTGCACTTAACCTCAAAGGTCGCGAGACTCGGTGGGGTCTCGGCGACGAGGCCGAGAGCCTCGTTGGCACTTTCGCGCGCGTTGCATATATTATCGTTAATTGAGAACGACAGGTTCTACTTTTAGTAAATCCTAAGACTGAATCGGAAGCAAGGTTCGACAGATGTATATGTTAAATGCTTGACACATACACCCATATACTAGATCAAATTCTGATTAATAATATACATGTAACAATTTAATCTGATTTAATATAATTTATTATAAACCAGATTACAGATGAAATATGCAATTATGTTGGAAGATTGTTTCTAATATATGCTTTTTATATTGTATTATAAAAGATCACGCATCGATATATTAAAGTTATATACGTGTAAATGATACATTGCTATTTTTCTAGACAAATATACATCGCAATTTGGTTCGGGCAGTCAGTATGCCTACTATCACGACGAGGATGAAACCACCTTCCACTTGGTGGACACCACCCGTGTGCAGAAGCCGCCGTACCAACGTGGCCGCTTCCGTCACAACCAGCGCAACATGCGCGGTCGCGGTGGCCAGCGCGGTGGACTGAGCCAGATGCAGCAGCTGGGAAAGCTCAAGTTGCGAGAGCGAGAGCGTAAGGGACAGACGAAGCGCTGGGGCAGGCAGCAAGGTCTGCGCAATCATAAGAATCAGCCACCTATCAAGATCCGTGACGCATCCGTGACGGTGCGACCCGACTGGATAACCATCGAGGAGATGGACTTCCCCCGATTGGCCAAGCTCTCGTTGCCCGGCGTGAAAGACGGCGAGGACATACTGTGCTGCGGCTCGCTCGAGTATTACGACAAGACGTACGATCGCGTGAACGTGAAGAGCGAGAAGCCGCTGCAGAGAATCGATCGTATCTTCCACACGGTCACGACCACCGACGATCCGATAGTCCGAAAGTTGTCGAAGACCGAGGGCAACGTATACGCCACCGACGCGATCTTGGCCACCATCATGTGCTGCACGCGCAGCAATTATTCGTGGGACATCGTCATCGAGAAGATCGGCGACAAGCTGTTCTTCGATAAACGCGACAACACCGAGTTCGATTTGCTGACCGTGAACGAGACCAGCGTCGAGCCGCCGCAGGACGACAGCAACTCGCTGAACTCGCCGAGAAATTTGGCCCTCGAGGCGACCTTCATCAATCACAATTTCTCGCAGCAGGTACTCAAGTCGAACGAGTCGCGATACAAGTTCGAGGAGGGCAATCCGTTCATCGCGGACGAGGAGGAGAACGACGTCGCCAGCGTGGCTTATCGTTATCGCAAGTGGGATCTCAACAACGGCATCGTACTCGTCGCCCGATGCGAGCACGACGCCGTGATGCAGGGCCCGAACAACGAGAACCAATTCCTGACGATCAAGGCGTTGAACGAGTGGGACTCGAAGCTGGCCAATGGCGTCGAGTGGCGTCAGAAGCTGGACACGCAGCGTGGCGCGGTTTTAGCGAACGAATTGCGCAATAACGCCTGTAAACTCGCCAAATGGACGGTTCAGGCGTTACTGGCCGGTTCGGATCAGCTGAAATTCGGATACGTGTCACGCGCCATAGTGCGAGACTCGAGCAAGCACGTGATCCTCGGTACCCAGCAGTACAAACCGAACGAGTTTGCGACGCAAATCAATTTGAACATGGACAACGCGTGGGGCATCCTGAGGTGCATCATCGACATTTGCATGAAGCAGAAGGACGGCAAATACTTGATAATGAAGGATCCAAACAAGCCTATGATCCGACTGTACGATATTCCTGATAATACCTTCGAGAGCGAGGGCGAGGAGGACGAGGACGACGACGAGCCTGTTAATGATGCGTTTCAGAGTTAACAGACACGACGCTAATTACGTCCATCATTAACCGGTAATCGATTGACGCTTTTACTGAATTTTTTTTTGTAGAGGCACAGGAATTATTATAAAGAAAATAAATGAGAAACTTTCAATACAACACTTTTGATTTTATGGAACTTTGTTACTCAGATACTTTTCGATGTGATTAATTAATAGAAATTTAGATACTTTGATTAGTAGGTAATATATACGAAAATTTTATCGACAAACAAGACGACCTTTTCAAGATGCAATTATTTGGTATTTATTCAAAACCAATTTATTATACGAATTTATAATCATATGTATAACAATACAGCAAAAAAATCTGGGTCTTATTTTTTAAAGCGAAATTCAATTATGTGTACCTTGTAATTTTCTATTTTTTTTTTTTGCAGATTTTGGAAGAGATAATGTGCTATTATCAGTATCAAGCTATTCAAAATGCTTTATTTAAATATATATATAAAGTGTATACACGTATATTTCAAATTTCAATACATACTAAGATAATATTTGATGCTGTAATAATATTTTTTATTTGCTTTTTTTTTTAAAACTGAAAAAGTAAATCTTTAAATTTTTTGGAGGGGGGATTTACTTTGGGGGGATCCAATTGCTTGATGACATATTTTAATTTACGCACAGCAGCAGTCACCATCGAATCATCGATGTCGTAATAAAGAACCAGTCTGAGCAAGCTTTCCGTGAGGGCCAGACATCTGATTATGATCTTGTCGTCGTCGTAGGAATCGTTCACTTCGTGCAGCCTCGTCATGAGAGTCCCGGCGACGATACCGCTGTCGGTATTCACGTTCACGAATACCATGTTGGTGTGCACGGTTTTCAGGTCTACACTGAATATCTTAGAATTCAACTGATTGATTGCTTCCGCGATAATCCGTGCTCGTCGGTGATCCTCCGCTAGTCGTGGCACCGTCTGCTCCAGGGCGACGAGCCCGGCCGCGGCGATCACGCCGACCTGTCGCATAGCGCCGCCCAACACCTTGCGCCTTCTCCTCGCGTCAGCGATGAAACTCTTGCTTCCGCAGAGCACGGACCCCACGGGAGCGCCCAGTCCTTTGCTCAGGCAAAACGTAACCGAGTCGAACGGAGCGACCAGATCCTTCGCCGGGATCTTCGACTCTACCGAGGCATTCCACAGTCGCGCGCCGTCCAAGTGCATCTTAAGATTATGCTTCCTCGCCACCACCGCCAATTCCTCGATCCACCACTGAGGTACGACCTTTCCGTTGAGCGTGTTCTCCACCGTGACCAGCTTCGAGATCGGCTCGTGTATTCGATCTACGCGAATCGCGCTCTTGAGGCTCTTCAGATCGAACGTACCGTCGTCGTTGTTAGGCAGAGTGAAGACGCTCACGCCGGCTACCTGCGCCGCACCAGCCTGTTCATGAAGGAACACATGCGACTGGTTTCCGCAGTAGACTTCGCTACCACGCACATCGCAGTGATTCATAACTGGAAGGAAAAAAAAAATTGATTTGCATGAAGGTTGACGTCAAACGAAGACGCAGGTGTGTGCACAACGATTATCTCTTACCAGCGATCAGGTTTCCCATCGTACCAGAGCTAATAAAAAGCGCATCTTCCTTTCCAAGAAACGCTGCAGCCTTTCTTTGTAATTCTAGAAAAATTACATAAACGATCGATTAACTAATAATAAGCATAAATGAAATATAGAAAATTATTGCCAAAATTTCGTGTTCTAAATATAAACAAAGCCAATTTGGTAGGAAGATAATATTTATCTCTAATTATTACATCTTATTTAAGAAAAAATTGAGAATGAGAGTAATATTTGGATTTATTTTATTATAATGGCACGATTCATGTGATATTTTGTGTCCTTTCAAATTCTTTCATTACCTTTTACAGTAGGATCTTCCTCATAGACATCATCCCCTACTAGCGCCTCGAACATAGCTTTCCTCATCGCCTCGGTTGGCTTCGTAAGCGTGTCGCTTCGTAGATCGACGATAACAGCCTGGCAATCATATACTTAACTCATTTAGAGCAATCCTCACGAAACATAACATGAATTTCATTCAATCTCTTGCGTCTCTCTAGAAATGTCTCGAGTCTCGAAAAACGCAGATTTTTTTTAGGAACATACGTTGTCCACATATGTTACACTGTTACAGCATGCGACAAGGATGGCATAATTAGTACATGCATTCGTGGACATATTAAAATTATATAGGATACAATGAATAATAACGAATAAACTCGTGCCGCTGATTAAATTTTATTATGATCGATAAGAGACGAAAGAGCTAAACAACACCCTGTTTCGTGTTCACTTACATTCTTTTGCTTCGCATATTCGTGAATGCTCTCGTTTACTCCGCCGTAAGACATCCTGCTGGCCGTGACCGACTGATCAGTGTAACTGAGTTTACTTCTGCGATAACAGGCGCCGCGCTTATATATATGCGACGCTTATCTGCTGGTATCTATAATAGATACATATACTACAGTAATAACTGGTCATAACGTAAACGGAAAGATACTGAAAGATCATTGTTTACATGTATTTACGGCGGTGTATTTAAATGTTAATATAGAAAAATAAAAAGGAAAATTGTTAAAAGACAAATAAAAGGCACATTTGTATGTGTTTTATAAATGCGATAACGACGAAATTATTCAGATAATATCGTATAGATAAGATCGTATAGATCATCATCGTGCAGAAAGTTTGTACAAATTTTTGACAAGGCACGATGAGAAAAGGAAAAGAGAACGTCAGAGAGGACACAGCCTTTATTTTGGAATATTTTCGGTATACTGATTTGAATATTTAAATGATTTATTTAAAAATCTTAAAATAAATATTTTACATATTATATTAAATATATGTAGTTTGCATAAATATCGCATAAAACATACATGATATATTTTACGTTACGAAACTTCAAATTTGTATTTGGAGACATGTGCATGTAACACGTTACATACGTACGTTGCATATTAATTTTAGAAAAAGTGCAAAATCACTTGATATTGATCTCGAGCTAATTGTAATGATAAGAGTGTGCAACGATAAGTTATCTCTTATTGTTGTTGACGTGGGCATATAAACTTAAAAATGCTGATAACGTTTAACATATAAAAGATTAACGTCAAAGGTCGCGAAACAATGTTAGATAATATGCTCGCGTATGTCGGTAAAATGCACAAGACTACTTTTATATGTTCTAAGAGTTTTATAGATCTATTCGGCATTACGTAATCAATTTATATATCTTGACATCTGTTTCAGAGATCATGATACACGAATTATACTTTGTTTTCCATTTCGAATGAGATATTTTTGACTCAGATGTGTTGTGTTTATATTAATTATAGATAGTCGGGTATCGTACGTGGTTGAGAGATTACACGTGTTGCAAAATTTGATATCTTTCAGTGCATGTTTTATAAGCGTGAGAAGATTAAATATAAATATAATAATATAAGATAAACGCAAAATTGAGAAATAAATATCACAATATATTAATTAAGATAATCAATTAATATATATATATATATACGTTTATATTTTTAACGACAAAATGATCAACAAATATCTAGATGCGATGTGTTCGAAAATGTTTAATCCGATAGTGAAAGTTATTAATAGAGGTCTGGAAATAAATATAATGCGCTTGATCGCCAATTATAATTAATGTTCATTTAGTTCAACGTGGATAACTTTAATAGTGGTTCATTTTTTATCCTTTTCTAGTTTGAAGAATTACAAGAGTAAAAAAGTAAATAAGAGATTAAAGAAATGGACATAAATTATAATCATTAGTTGATCTATCGACAGTAAATCGAATTGAAAGGAAATGTTTCTCGGACAATCGATTTACTCGAACTCGAATCGATGAGTCGGACCTGAAGCTTCGCGAGAATCCGCGTGTCCCTAGTGTCTAGTGAAGTTATTCGAGAGCGGCACTAGCGGCAGGAAGCGGCGCGGATTGGCGCGAAAGGGTCATTCGAGAAGGGGGCTGAGAGGGGGGGGAGTGAAAAACGAATGTGGCGCGGTGCCGCAGGCGGTCACGCTCCGACGACATCGGCGGCAGTTTGTGATCGGCGCGGTCGAGGCGTGGAGTCAGGATTGTTGGGAAGGAGTGGGTGAACAACGGAGCGACAGCCAAGAGGATCGAGCGGGAGAAGAGAAAGAGAAAGAGAGATTCTCGAGGGAGAGAGAACGCGAAGCTCGCGCCCGCGTATAATTCGGCCGCGAATTTTTATTACGCGCACGATCCGCCGTCGCCGGCGCGACAACGTTTTCGAAAGCGGCGGAGGGCGAGTCCGTCTGTCGTCGTCGCGGCAGTGGGTAGTGGCGGCAGTGGTGGTGGTGGTGGTGGTGTAGTAGTGGTGGTGGCGGTGGTGTTGGTGCCCGTCGTCGCGCACTCGTCGTTGGTCGCGCATCGTGGCGACAGCTAGTAGCGGCAGCCGTCGTCGCACGTCGCCGTCGCCGCCGTCGTCGTCGTCGTCGTCGGACTCGGACTCGTCGCCGGGCTCGACTTCCCGATCGTGTCGCGCGTAGTCGGGAGTAGTACGATACGCAAGTACACGCGAGTAGTAGTCGCGGACACCACACATTGCGCGCGCGTTCGGGAAACGAGGTAACGGGTAACGGTGCGCGCGCGCGCGCGTGCACACGCGAGGGACGAGAGAAAGTACCACTCGGGACGCACAAGGGGCAGGCCCGCAGCAGCAGCAGGAGCAACGGCGGCAGCAGCAGCAGCAGCAGCTTTACCGCGTCGTGTGTTGCGCGCTCGCTAAACAAAGATGGCGGACGTGGACTCGAGGGTAGACCGGTCCGATCCGGAGCTGCGTATCTTGTCGGTCGACAGGAACAGCTTCAACGACCCGGCCACCCAGGCGGAATGGACGCAGAAGAAGCTGGTGTGGGTGCCGCACGAGACGCAGGGCTTCGTCGCCGCCGGCATCAAGGGCGAGCGCGGCGACGAGGTCGAGGTGGAGATCGCGGAGACCGGCAAGCGCGTGCTCGTCGCGAAGGACGACATACAGAAGATGAATCCGCCCAAGTTCGACAAGGTCGAGGACATGGCGGAGCTTACCTGTCTCAACGAGGCCTCCGTTCTGCATAACCTCAAGGACCGATATTACTCCGGACTGATTTACGTGAGTCCTCTCGCCTTACTCTCGATATTCCTCTTACTCCCCTGGCGTTGCGTCTGCCTCGCTTCCCGGTGCACGATTGAGCGTAACACCTCCGTACGGTTTCGAAGCAAGTATATTTTAAATCCTGCTCCTCTCGCGTCCGGAGTCCTCTCCTCCTCCCCCCCTCCCCGACGACCTTACGCTCGCCGCTAACCCAATTTTCCTTCTCGGTCTCCGTGCCGCGGATTGACTCGCCTCCGGGTCTCGCGTTCCAAGAAGCCCAAGTTCGTCGAGCTGGGACACTCGGCGTAAATATCTGAAAATATGCGCCACGAGAAATTTTTTAAATGTAAAGAGTAAAAGCTAAAGCTCGAGGCCCACTGCTGGACGTCGGGAATAGCTTCGACGAAATACGAGAGTAAATTTGTTTTACCATTTTTTTCGAGGAAGGGACCGTGAGAGACGCGGGAAAATAAATTTCGTTCGCTTAACGGCCTGACGGCTTCTGAACGTTTCTCCAGGATGAATGGATCCGGTTTTTTTTCTATCACGAATAACTTGGCGCTTCTCTTTTCGCTCCTTTGTTCTTTCGCGAGTAATAAGAATTGCAAGTTTGGAAGACCGTTCCGTGGAAGCGGCCGCGATGCAGGTGCAAGTGCCAGATGCGAGCCGGCCCTTCCACGCATCCCCTAGGGCCGGTTCCTCCAACGTCGGTTAACTCTAACCTCGACTAAAATGTTCCTTCGCTCCTTCCTCTTTCGCTAGAACCAGAATCTGGAGTAAAATCTTCTTGATTCAAGTCGAACTGTGGATTGGAGTCAACCGACGTTTTGCAAAATAGTCTACGAAATAATTATTTTTAATTATCTCTCATTGATCGTGTCTTGGAATTATAATTCCGCGAACTCGAGTTATATTCCATCTCGAAGTTTTGTATTCTATTTCGAATTTGTGATTAAATTAAAATGCAGATCGATGAGAGAAAATTTGACAGAAAATTAAGATTACTCGGGTAAGGGGGAAGCAAGCAGTTAAGCGCGATTAGCGCTCGAATTACGCCGAGCGTAATTGATTCGACTCCGAAATTTTCCCAGCCGACTTTTCGAGGGACGTCGGAAATTCCGTCTCTTCGGGGCGTTGCGGAATTAATATGTTCGCCGTATAGCGCGGGGTGACTCACCGCGTCCGCGAGCTTGACTTCGAATTCCCGTTGGCGTCATTAATTCAGCGACGCCGTGAAAATTAATCGCCCCGCGAAATCACGCGGAATTTTCGATTATCGGCGACCCGCGAACAGCTTCAAAATATTTACGGAGCGAGACAAAAATGACGGTATTCCTCGTCGGCGCTGCGCTAAGTTGCCGGTAATTCGTCGCGTGGGAGGGGGAGGGAACACGTTTATATGTTTAGAGTTATTAGTGGTCTTTCGCTTCTTGCATTTAGCCAGAGATGAACGGGATAAGTAAATCAATAGCTCGAAAGTGGAACGCTATATCGCACACCGTCGTCGCACACCGCTCGGGTGTGGAAGAGAGGAAATTTCCATGCTGAAAAACATTCGTTTCTCTGTACTCGAGAGAGAGAGAGAGAGAGAGAGAGAGAGAGAGAGAGAGAGAGAGAAACATTGATCGTTTCAAATCTCAAGTTACTGAAATAAGAATTAATAATAACTATATAGCCGTATGTATAACTATGTGCTTCTTTTGCAATTGCAACAGCGACACTGATTCGCACAATCTCAATATATCGAGATAAGATATTTGGACATTCGGTGGGGATTGTCAAGTTTATTTTTAACAGTATTGATTATTTTAATACCGCGGTACTAAAACACCGAATGGTTGACAACGGACGAATCATAATAATTACGGTGCATATAGGAAATATATCGAAATACTTCTGTACTGTCATTAAGCAATATTCGATTAAGAACGGCCACCACGAGTCTCTCTACCGTAAAATGTATGCGCGTTCCCGACCGCACCGTGTATCTCGGTACGTTTGAAATTTTCTGCGATCATTTATCCTCCGTTTATCCGATCAGAAAAATACGTATATTCGTCGTCGTGCAATCGCGCGTGATGTTGAAACAAGGATTAATGGTGGCGGCGGAGAAAATTTATCGAAAAGAAAACCCGACGTCGTTTATACTCTCGCGTATTGCATTTTTGTTCGATTATCGGCTCGGTCTGACTGGCCGTCGGGCACGTTTTGAAAAATAGCGCTCGCGCCGTCGTCGAGAAATCGGTCGCTGTCTTATTCCGACCGACGCGCGCGCGAGAGAGACCGGTGGTGCCGACTCTCTTTCGCTCGTAAGGCGGACTAAAGATAGCTC